CTGGCGGAGCTCCGGCCGCACCGCCGCTCCCGCTGGAGGCAGAGGCAGGTCCAGTAGGAGAAGCCGGGTCAGCGAGCGCCCGAAGCGCTTCATCACTGGGGGACGGGCGGCTCCAGCCCCCGTCCTCGGGCTTGGAGGCGTCGCGGCCGAGCCGCGTTTCGGGCTTGGCACCTAGCTGGGGTTTTGCCGGGGGCTGCCCAACTGTGGACAGCTCGGACTCGAAACACAACCCGTCTTTCCCTAACTTTTCTGCACTTCCCGTCTCGGGACTGAGATTTTGAGTGCTGATAACTTGCCAGCCGCACGCGGCTTTGGGGCTCCTCGTTTGGTGCTCTTCTGCTCCCGAAGCATCGGCTCCTGCTCATCCCCTCGCTGTCTGTGGCGGAGGCTGGCGGTGCGGCAGTGCAGAGCTTCTCTAGCCCGGTGCGATGCTTGAAGAAACAGCCGGAGCGTTTTACCGAGGAGAGCTGCAGTCTGTGATTCGGCAAGTCAGAATAGCGTTTTTATGGAGATCCTCAGATGACAGGTGTAGATTTAAATGCGGTTTCAGTTAGATGTATCTGATCTTCCATGTGTTAGAAGTGAAAAAGCCTTTTCTACCTCTATTTGTCTTCTAGCTGCATCTTGTCTTTTAGTTATGACTGGTATTATCGATGGATTGTGCTGGAAAAAGTAATTTTTAGCTCATAAATGAGGACTTTTCTGTATGACGAATTTATTCTGGAACAAGCTGTACAGTATATTTACATTACAGTAGCTGACCCAGAAGAGTTTTTCACATAGCCGCTGTTGCACAGTAGCTGTTCCAGACAATTTTCCCATGAAGAAGTTCTAAATGTTATTACTTACTTTTGTGCTAGAATTTTTTGCATCTCTTTCTTCCCACCATTTTCATCTGGACTTTGTCAGCCTGATGACTCTGAGCTTACAGCATTATTCTCTGCATTGAAGGATTTGGGATGTATTTTAGTTCTTTGCTCCTTAGGAAAAAAAGGTGTTAATTCAAGGCAGAACTTTATTTTTCTGGAATTACGGAAGTGGAAGAAAAAGGGTATGGCTGAGAAAATGACACACCAGAGAGATGCATGCAAACGACCCAGCCTGGCTGTTTACTTTCCTCTTGTGCAACTGTAACATCCCATGCTCCAGCAGCTGCCTACGGGGTCAGTGCACGCCTGGGCTCTCTGTTACTGTCTCCCTTTCCACTGACATGGGAAGGTCGCTGCTTAGGGCTGAAGGCAATGCTTGGGTAGCAATGCCTGTAACTGCAGGGCAGGAAAACTGGTTCTGTGCACCAGCTGGCAGAGGGGATGGGACTTGCATCATCTAAAGGAGCAAACCCGAGTGAGTGCAGGTGATAGATCAGTTCAGAAACAGCCCAAGGTAGGTGGGTATGTCCCTGGAATGTGCAAAGCAGTAGATGCAATTGGAGCTGTGGAGCTACAGGTTTTAATATTTGTAATGACAGTAAACTGTCCCCATGTTAAGCATGGATTACATTTCTTTAGGGTAAAGCATGTCTCTCAGTATTGAGTAGCTGAATCAATCTGAAAACATATTCTCAACAAAGAGCAGCCTTTGTACTGTCTGTGTTGGACTTTGGGGCTGCTCTGATGTGGCTGTTAAGAGAAGTAGATGCCACAAGCATCCAGGGCTGTGAGAGAGGCCAGTCCCCTTCCTGTTTGAAATATGCCAAGCGTACTCGAGGAGCTCTGTGTGGAAAGCAAGAAAGGGCTGTTTTAAAGGGCAGTACTAGCCTAAAGGTAATTAAGAGTTGTGTCTTCATTTAGCAGGATACACTCTTTAGTGTGTTGGAAGTGTTTGTAATCAGATGGTGTCGGCCAGGAGAGCTTTAAAATCATCTTTTCTGATCATTGGATTTGTGTATCTGTCTCCATCTGCAAGACAACGTGCATTTGGGGATTAGCAGATGGTGCCATGGTGCTACCAACAAGAGGGACTTCTTGTATCTCTTATCTTTGCTTCATTAATGGTAGAATTTGTACAGTCTGTATGAAGCTGAGTGCATTTTTCAGGTGTTAGATGGGGTTGAAGTGTTTAGAAAACTCAAACTGCTCCTCATTGTACTGGTGGTGATTTCTGAAGTGTACAAAGTTCAGGTTAACAGTCATGGACAATGACTTGCTAACCATGTATTTGTTTCACCATTGAGGATTAGCAACACCAAATTCTTTAGAGTGAAATTTTTGTATATTAAGACAACTGGGTTTGTCTTCCTGAAAAAAAGTGTAAATATACTATATATTGCAATAGCGGATATTGTGTGTGTTAATAGCAGATATTGTGTACGTTAATTCTGCTGTGGAAGATATGTGTACGTTTAGATATAGATCTGTATGTACAGCCTCAATCTCTTCAGTTTTCAATAACAAAAGTAGCAACAAAATCTTTCCTTCCCTCAAGGCTAGCAATAACCTTCTCAGTGACTTTCAGAGTTGTCTCTGCTCTGCAGACAGCACTGATTCCTTCCCTGTCTCCAGCACTACTCTCCAAATGCTTCTGGGTTCCCCTGCCCTTCCCACGATGCCTGCCAGCGGTGCCCCAGGAATTCTCCGGCTGTAAAGGAAATGGAACTTGTCAGCCCGGAATGAAAACCCTTTCCCTGTAGAGACATAGGGGCTGCCTAATCCTCATGGTCACCCTCCAGCACCGTGGGTGGCTCCAGCAGCCAGTGTGAGATGTTTTGGGCTCAATTGACTGAGTTCATCTTTCACAGGTGTTTGATCCACATGATTTGTACACAGGAGATCAGTTCTCCAAGGTCCTGAGCACATTAACAGCTATAAATAAAGCTACTGAAGGTAAGAAAAAAGGGGTTCTTCCATTGTCCTTTCAAACTATTTCTCATGTGTATGCAGGGCCAGTTTTTAATTTTTGTTAATTCCTACTTTATGGTGATTTCTGGAGGTTTGTCAAATTGTGCTGCCGGCACTGATGGCTGATGGTGGATCATGGGATTGACATTTCAGGCTTCTACCAACTCTGGGTTAAAATGTGATGTTTCAGGGTCGCTGTATGAACTCTGAAGAGCTCAATTATCACTTTACACTGAAGGACCTCTGCTCAGTTTTTGAGCATTAAGGGACCTCAAAGTAGGTCAGCATAAAGGATCCTCAGTGTAAATGAACATGCACCTCCCAAAATGCAGATATCAGATTTTAAAGAGTGTGTTTTAAAACTGAAGAGAAAAACAACTCCATCTGCATAATACCCTTCCTGAATGTCAAAACAAACATTGTTGCTAGTTGCTCAGTCAATTGTATTTACGTTTTTCTCTCTCTCCTCCGCCTGGTTTCATGGAGTAGACTCCTGGATCTGGGAATCAAGCTGATGGCTTGTCCTCTATCCTTGGGAGCAGGAGTAGGCTTTTGCTGAAGCAAAGCAAATCAGTCCATCCTGATTCCTTTCCAGATATGTTCCCTGCAGATTGCTTTAAAATGATATGCAGTAGCATAGTCTGTGAAAGGAGAAGTTCAGCAGGGGGGATGTATGATGGCACAGTGGCGCTCTGGGGAGGGGTGAGTGGACCAGGATCCCTTTTCTGAGGTGATGAGGAGCAGGTCTGCCTGGTGCTGGGAAGAGTTCACAGCCTCTTGTCATACAGGTGTATTAGGACAGACTCCTGCACACTCACGGAAGTCCAGCACCAGAAGAGTTCCCTTTCCCTGTTGCAGGTTACATTTGAGGTGGTTTAAAGGAGAAAATTTCAAAATGAAAACTTGTTACTTTCCTCTCATGGAAAGGCTTTCCTTTTGACTTACTGCATTTTGGCTATACATTATATAAACTGGTTTATAAATTATCATGCATATATTGTACATCAGCATCTATAATAATATGCCTAATAATAATATATATGTATAATATGTGTAATAATAATAGTATATATTTGTAAACCCTCCCCCTGATTTGCACACACATTGTGTGTGTGTCTGTGTATATAATGCTGCTCTGAAGAAATTCAGGTTCTGAGGCTGCTGTTTTGCAGCACTCAGTTCTGCTGACAGCTTACTCCATAGAAATTTGGGAATGGGAATTTGGCTGCAGCCAGCCTCAGCACCTCCTCTCAGCCTCTCACCACTCAATTACCAACAGCTGACCCAGTGTAGAAGCTCTTGCAGTTCAGTGTGATGGGGGATATAAAATGTAGGTTAACTTGACCAGCAGCAACCTCCACAAATGCTGCTGTTATGATTGATATTTGCTTCATTTCATTTCATTTCAGAATAGAAAGCAAAAGGAGAAGGAAACTCTCCTGCCTCTGTCCTTGCCCTTTGCTGGACTGGAGGGGTGTGATGGGGTATGTGCTGACAGGGTGGCAAGGCTGCAATGCCATTTGCACATTACTTCCCTTTTTTACAGCCCCATCTCCATTCTTCCAGCCACCCATGTGCCAGCTCAGCCTGGGACAGGGCTTTGCTGGGGAATAGTTCTTGTCATATGTTACTGATGGGGCTATAGAGAAGCTGGGATCCTCTTGGTTTCGTGGGAAACATCTGTTTGAACATACGCTTTCTGTGTTTAAATGCTAAAAAGTGCAATGCCTGCGATATAATTAGCTGCTCATGCAGAGAACACCCTTGGGAAAAGTACAGGGTAAAATAAATACATGTCTCAAACATTTACTTTTTGGTGGCTTGGCCAAATTCCTAAGGAGCAGGAGCCTGTGTCCTACAAACTGCCACTGCAGATGGTCTGGTTTGTCTGCTTTGCAAGAGGCCACGGGCTGAATGGAGCATCAGGATAAGCCTGGTACCAGCTACAGCAGTTGCTGCTGGCACCAAGCCTCTGACACGCCTGCACATCCCAGCACCCGCAGCACTGCTGCATCCCAACACCCTGGTTGGAGGCAGAGGGAAGTAGGTGTCAGCTAAGGAAACACTGTGGGAATATATTTCTGAACATCCATTTGAAGTCCAAATCCTTGTGTCTTCATGGATCTTTTTATACAAATAACTGGAGGCATCATTTGTAGTGGATAAACTTGTAGTTCAGCAGCTGTCCATCAACACAGCAATACAGAGCTTGATGTTTTTGTCTGCAAGAGAGGGCAGGGGAGGAAAACCAGCTGTGCTGGATCAGACAAGGCTTTTCTGCCAAAAATAGTGTAGGAATGCAAGCAGAAAGCCCAGCTATTTTAACCATAATTTAAGCAACATATGGCAGCAGTGTTCTGTGCTGGACCAGGCATAAAATAGGACACTGTCATAATGCAATATAAATGTTACGCTTCCCTGCCAAACTGTCAAAGGCAGTTGTACATTTGTTTCTAGGTTGCTGCAGATATTTATAAAAGCTTTGGAAGATTGGGAGAGGCAGGGAGAGTCATAAAATCTACAGTAATGGAGTCATTTCCCTGTGACTGTGGCTGATGACTTGAATAAGAGAAGCCTGGACTCAGGATTTATACCCTCCCTTTCAGAAGGAATCAGGGGAAGAATATCTCACACTGGCAGCCAGCCACACCCCTGGCCTGTGAGTCATCAAGAGCAGCCAAAACCGCTCCTGCTCAAATATCAGGATGCTTCAGAAAGAAAAACCCACTCTGTTGGCAAAATAGGTTTTACATAGGGAGGGGCTTTGCAGTTGCGACAGCCCAGGAAGCTGGGAATTCACTGTGCAGTTGTCAGGCAGTTGTGTAACAAGCAGGGCAAGGGAGAAAACTGACTCACTGACAGCACACAAGGTTTACCATGGATGTTGCCCACTGGAGCATGGGCTGGCTAGACTGGTGTGTGAGTATGGCATGGCTGGGCTTTGTAAGGCAGCAGCACCTGGAAGTCATAGGCACGGACCTGGTCCCCACTGTGCAAGGGGTAGGAGCAAGACAAAGTAAGCCCCTTCCACAAGAGCTCACAGTTTGTGTTGCTCCAGGTCCAATCTAAGGATGAGATGTTTTCCTATTGGAACATAAAACTTCTGAGGAGAATAAAAGTCCAGCTGGGTTCCTGTAACTCCTACCAAACTTCCCCTTCAGAATGAGTTTTCCATGCTGACATTCAGACTGAAGGAGACTAGAGGAAAAGCAGCCTTGGAGTTCATATTTTTCGATTTTTGCTCACGTTTCATGGCTGTATCACCCTCTCCTCTTGCAGTGTTTTCAAGGCAGAGCTCCAAATGTGGTCCAGGGACTTGCACACCCAGCACAGGGATTTCTGCAGACTGCTCTGTTCTGCTTTTGAGGTCCATGGACACACAAGGTCCCCACTGCAGGTGGAAAACTGCAGCTCTGGAATGCAGAAATGTTCTTAAATCTGAAGAGAAGCTACAGGACCAATCTTAAAAGTCCTTCACAGTTTACTGAAATGTTAATATCTGCTATTGAGTCTTTTGAGCACCATGGGACACAGAAAGGAGGTGATCTGAGTAGTGTTCCAGAGTGTGGTGTGGGGTGCAGTAGCAGTGAAGTACTGGGAATTACTGGGTGGCTTGAAATCCCATGTTTTTATGCCTCTGCAGCATCCAACAGGATTCTAGGTCTGAATGCTGCCAGATCCTGCAGGAGCTGGAACTGCTCTTAGCAACAAGGCTACTAAGTCTCTGCACAGTTAAGATGAGGAAACTTTTTACACTCTGGCAATTTTTTTGGTGTTAATATAGAAACAAATCACTAATTATGAAAAGAGATGTGTCAGAGCAGCAGCATTGCCTCCAGCATCAGATGGGGACAGAAGCAAGCCTAGAGACTGGTTTGCAAAGGGAAGAGCTCTGAGTGTGTGAAGGAGGCAGCTCTAGGAGTTGTTGGGATGATCTGAGTCTTTCCATGGGCAGCTCATCTCCTGGGGATGACACTCCTGTCCTTCCTTGGCGTGGCTTGAAACCCTCTCTCACATGACTAATGGCAACGGTCCATGGACAGCAATCAAAATAGTGCCTAACCTCTTTCAGCTGGATAATGAACCCAGAAGGACTCCTCTAAATAGAAGAGTGATTGTATTGGCCAAGTGTTCAGCATTCCTCCCCACTCACTGGAATAGCCCACACTGCAGATGCAGAGATGACCTAAGAGCATTCACTGGAGAGCTAAACTTTGACTCATCTTCAACAGTGCTTACTTGGATCCCAGAAACATTCCCAGTGGGGAATCACAGTACTGAGTACTATTTACTCTTCTACAGTTTTAAGGGGGATTTCAAAGAAATACTTCAATTGGACATATGGCTGCAGAGCTGGCACAACCTAGGAGTGCCTTGGATTGCAATTCAACTTCTACCATGATGGAAGGGTTATCCCAGCCCAGAAAACTACCCTCACTGCTGACTGGGAGTATCCATGCTGCAGATGCCATGCACTTGTCCTGCTCTGATAGATGTGATTTGAATTGTTGTGCCCTGTTCCTGTTTTCTTTACAGGCTTTTCTCTTTGCTTTGCTGTGATGTGGAGGGATGGTGGACAGCTGGGTAAAACTCAGATGTTGTTTTGTTTCCCCAGATCAGCTGTCAAAAGGGCCATGTTCACATCTGTCCTCTCTTAACTCCGTGGCTGGAGACGCCCAGAGTGACTCCAACGGCACAGCTTCCCAGTCAGCAAGGGGGTTACGGAGGCAGTCCAAGCCTGTGGTACCCTTTATTTAATGTGTAATCATGTGGTTTGATGGCCTTGGGGGTAGAGGAGTTTGATTCATACCTCTGGGTCAACACCAGAGGTTGTTCTCCCCTGATCTCCCTCATGGATTTGCTGTCTCAGCTGGAGAGAGCCCCACAGGTTCTCCAAACTGCAGTGTTTCTCTGTGTGACACGAGAAGAATGATTCTTATCTGCCACCCATTGTACTGGGAAAGTAAATTAAAGCTTTGGAGGGACCTTGTGGTCCTCTGAAGGGAATGTTTACACAACAGCAAGATATTATTGGTTGTTATACAGAGCAATACTGAAAAAACAGCTGTCACAACAGAGAAGAACAATGGCTTCTCCTAGTGGTTTCTGCTTTTTTTGACTATTTACTGATGGTTTTCCACGTTTCTTTCCTTAGGAGATGACCGAGAATGGCAGTCATCAGCTGGTGGTAAAGGCCAGGTTCAATTTTAAGCAGACCAATGAGGATGAACTCTCTGTTAACAAAGGAGACATTATTTATGTCACCCGAGTTGAAGAAGGGGGTTGGTGGGAAGGCACCTTGAATGGAAAAACAGGCTGGTTCCCAAGCAACTACGTCAGAGAAATCAAATCTACTGGTAAGCAAATTGCTTTCAAGGGCTGATTGAATGACAGTGGCATAATGCAGTGAAGACCCTCGTGCCTTTGGGAAATTTCCGCTATTTATTAAGGACCGTTTGTGTACTTCAGACAGCTGGGCTAATGGAAAGATGAGTGAAAGGGTAAAGCGCAGTGTTTCAGATGAATTGCTTGAATGTAAAAATTGTCTTTCTCTTGCTCCCCCCAAGACCCAGCAGCATGGAAGCAGGGATATTGTCAGAGGATGAGGACAGAGACAGATGTGGGTCTCCTTTGTCCTGTGGAACTGTCAGGTCATTCCAGTGTCTGAGCACAGAACTAGCTTTTTGGTAGAGACCTTGGTTAGGCAATGTATTTGTGTTTGATCCTGGCTTTTCAGGCATCAATGGAATGGGTGATCACTATCACAGTGTGGAATCCAGCAAAAATGCGTGGCCACAGGGCATGGTCCCTGTTTTGGTCCATAGTGATGGTTGATTTCAAAGTACATTTTCCCCCAAATGCTTCTGCTGCAGTATTGAGAAAGGAAGAAGGAGGGGGTGATCTGTCAGTGACATCTGCCTTTATTGAGCTTTGTCTTGAGTGTCCTTAACATTTTCTGTGATGTGGTTGTACCAAAACGTAGCATTGGCCAATTGCCCTGTGGCATTGCACATCCATTCAAGCAGCTCACCCCTGCCCAGGCCTTTGTCTGAGATTAAAGTGGTTTTTTGCAAAATGCAGTTTAACTCCTTAATGTGCCTTGAGGACTTACCATAATCAGAGACCAATTGTGTGCTTGGTGCTGGTTCTATGGCTCAGGATCTGCTCTGGCCCCAAACGCTGAGATGCCAGCAGGGGTCTGCAAAGTAGCAAAATGTACACCCGGTTGGACGTCCTTGTTTCTACTCTGCAAAAATAAAGCAAAGGAGGGAAGAAAAAAATCCATTTTCTAGTGCTCAGAATTAGGTCCATTTTTATTTAATTCTAAATGAAAAAAATGATTGTTAGGATATCTCATCTCCCAGTGTTTCCCTCTGGGAAATGATGTTTGAGTTGGAGCAGGAAGTTGCAGCAGGGATTGAAGGCTTGTCTGGCACAACTCAGGAATCACTAATTAACTCAGTGGGGGGAAAAGAGATGTTTTAAAAAAAGGAGAGCAAACTTGAGTCCCATAAGGAAAATTAGATGGGAGTTTCATGACATGACACTGGCTCACTGAAGTGAAGGGCCAGTCTCTCAGAGATCCTGATGTAAGAGCCCATCAGATTTTTCTGTCTGCAGAGCTTTTTCCTCCAGATGCTCTCTCGGCACCATTCCACGTGGCAGGAGGGTTCATTGCCCTGGTGTCTGCATGCTCAGGAGATGTGTCTGTACTGCAAGCAAGGAATGAGGAACCATCAGTAAACCCTCCCTGCCCCAGGAATACTGCTGGGGCTGCAGCTGGCAGGGAGCTGCTTTTCCTACCTCCATAGTGTAAGACTGGTCCCTCTGAATGCAGTTACTTGTTTTTCAGCAGTGTCCATACCTCTGCTGTGTCCTAGGTGTGCCCTTTGGTTGGAAATATTCTGTGAAATAACTGCAGAGCTGAGCTCCTGTGAGCCTTTAGGTGGAAGTGACAGGAAGCACTATAAGGGCAATAATTAGACAGTACATAAAGAGGGTAAATGTATCAATTTCAAGTTTCTCCTCTGCTATCAGTGTGAAAGTAATTGCCTTGTCTAAGTGATTGCAGGGAGACAGGAGAGCCTGGCTGCTGCACATTGCATGGAGCTGTTTCAGTATGTCCAGTGTGGCCAGGACTGGGCCAGCCTTGCTCTGACTGCCTGCCTGCCCCAGTCCAGAGGGGAGATGGTGTTGCTGGCAAAGGCATGCTGCTGGAAGGGAAGGAAAATTGGAGCGGGGATTTGTCCATGTGTGTGAGTGTGAGTGCTGGAGGCATCCAGAGGGATTTATTAAATGCAGAACGAGAATTGATTTTCATGGTTTTAGGAACTTTTCATTTAAATCTACATTCAGAGAAGGATTTTGCATCACAAGTGATTGGCTTCAAGTGCCTTGTGAATCACCTGGATAAAAGCACAGTACCTGTGACTTCTGACAGACACCCAATTTTAAAAACAAATTTAGTTTTTAGGGCCAGGTGAAGCAACACTGTAGTTCGAAACATTTCCAGATACTGGAATGCTGCCAGGGATTTTGGAGCAAACCTGGATGTTGGCTGGCAGAGGCTGCACAAAACTTCTGGTGTGATTCACTTGGCCACAGTCAGTGTCATGCATACCACTGGTTTTATACTAGTTTTTTGTGAAATGGGGAAACAAACCCTGCAATTGAAGTTTAGTGGTCACAGGAGTGAAGTTACGTTTGCTGGACATAATGTGGCGGTGTCTTTTTCTGATGGGATAATGAGAGCAGAGCACTGTAATTTATTCATGGATTTTTTTTTTTTTTTGTACAGAGAAACCACTCTCTCCCAAAGCATTAAAAGGGCTAGAAAACACTCAACTGACAAAGAATTATTACCCAGTGGTAAGTTTTTAAGTGCTGATCATACATTTTAATAAGTACCATGTTATTAATCTTCGAAGTGGCTCCTTCCCTTAAAAATCATTGAAGCAATTTGTAACAATTGGGGATGTGACTTGGTGTTTAAATGCAGCTGTTTCCATTCCCTTGATTCAAGGCCACGGAGACAATAAACCACAAATGGAAGTGACTGCAAGATGTCAAAAGTAGAGACTTGAAGTAGACAACTGAGACAGTTAAGGAGAGGTGACAGCTTTCAAATCAATGCAGGGAATAAAGCACCGTATTTCCTGTAGATAAAGATGGGGAGATAATGTCATGGTGTAAGCAAGCCGAATCAGGGCTCTGGCCCCTTTCTTTGGTTTGGCTGGAGATGTTACACCCCAAGGTGCCTGTTCTGTGCCTCTGCCAGCAGCTGCAGGCCTCAGAGAATGGGCAGCTGCCACAGCTCATGGCCTGGCTTTGTAACTGGGCTTGGCCTTAGAGCAGGTTCACAGCCTGCCTGGCCATGAATTGCCGCTGCAGAAGGGGTGGGAAAACATCCCCTCCTTTACATATTGCTGCCAAAGTGAGGAGGTCTGGCAAAGCAGGGGCAGTTACCTTCCCCCTGTATCCAGTCTGTGGTGTAAGAGAGTGAAGATGCCTCATGTGAGCATCCCTGGCTCTCTGTGCTGGAGTGGAATCCTGCTGATCAGTATATCTAAATATATTTTCAGCAAAGCAAAGTAGAAGCAGTATGTCCAGGGAACTGGAAGCCACCTCCAGCACCATTTCCAGCACTGAGAAACTGGAGTACTGACTGGGAGTGTGCAGGCACTGGCTTTGCCTGCTGTATGGCCAGAGACAAACCAGCTGCTGAGATGGATTACAGGACCAAACCCAGATTATTACATCTCTGAAGTGGCAAATGAGGTGTGCCCTGGCTTGATGTGCCACAGAAGCAGCCTTTACCACCTGCTTTCCAGATCTCCCCAAATTTGCAAAGTAAAATCTCAATATTTGACCACCAGGACTTTCCTGAGTGTTCTGGGTTCTGCATTAAGAAATGTAATTTCTGGACTTAAAATACACTTCCATGCTTTTCCAGTCTTGGAAGCTGATGTTGTATTCTTTTGACTAATTTGCTAGTACAAAGATCTTCTCAGCACTCTGTCTCTCACCCTAGGTGTTGCAAAATATTCTGGAAACAGAACGAGATTATGCGAAGGAACTACAGTCACTTCTGGGGACTTACTTAAGACCCCTCCAGTCTTACGATAAGTAAGATATAAGGGCATCTGAGGTGGAAAGAACACTGTGGGAGCCTTGGGATGTCATGGACAGAGGGCATGTGTTTAGACAGTTGTTCAGTCAGGAGAGATGGGCGAGTGGTATTCTAAGGCCTCTGTATTTCAGTCACTTCTCCTTTCCCAAAATCTTCATGTGGGAAAATTTTTTGTGCTCTCAGCGTTGTAGGCCTAAATGAGGGTGGTATGAAAGTGACTCTTAGGATGACAGAAACAGGCACATTAGCTTTGGAAACATCCAGCCTCACTCAAGGAACAAAGAAGCCCCATACCACTAGGACTCTCCTCCCATAGGGAAACCCATGGCATGAATCCCTGAAGACAAAACTCCGTGTCTTTGCACACACCTCCCTCCCCACTTCTGGCTCAAATCCCATCTGTCTGTGTCTATTGGACAGCTAAAGAGCTGAGAAGATTAGTGGGATTAAGTGATTCAAATCCAATTAAAATAATCCTTGCCAGCAGACATCTTCAGGAGGCTGTGGTCTGTAGCTCACAGATCATGAGTTTTGTGTTCTGTCTGATGCTGTATCTGGGGAAAGGGAACTTTTTGTGTCTTTTTTGAAGGACCGCTGATGAATAAAAATGCAGTGCTCCTGAGAGCAACTTCTCTTTGATGGTAACTGGTGGTGTGGCTCTTGTAGGCTCAGTGCTGGGGACATCATGGCATTGCTGGGAAACATGGAAGAAATCTCTGCTTTTCAGCAAACACTGAACCAAGCCTTGGAGGAAGTTGCAAAGTAAGTTTGTGTCATAGCAGTGAGGTTGTTAAGCTTTTCAATTGTACCTAAAAGTAATAGTAATAGAAGTAATAAATGAATAGAAATATTCATTAATGTTCCTCCTGTCTGCTGTCTTAGACTTGTTAAATATAGAAGATAAATGGAGTGAGGAAAGGTAGCAAGCAGTACTTTGGCAGGAGGGAAGGTAGAAGGAACTCTGACATTGCTGGTGTTAAGGCATCTGCTGAATGAGTGTCACTAGACCTGACACAAAAGTGTGCCTAACCCAAAGACGCAGACATATGCAGGGTGGGAGATCTGGCAGGCGTGAAGATGGGAATTGCCAGGGAGCAAAGAGCAAATTATTAGAGGTGATAATTTCTTGCAGGGAGGCTGACAGACATGTTTAGCCTTAGCTAAGGGCTGTAAAGAGATGGGGAAAGACTGAATATTTGGAATATATTCAGGCTGTGGCTTCTCCTTCTTTCTCTGTTTTTTCATATTCATGGGCAGCCCAGAGAGTGGGACCCACCCCTGCACTGCCCCTAAATCCAGCACGTCTTCATCCTCATCATCCCAGCTGTAGCTCTGCTGGTGAGACATACCATGTTGTGTCACAGGTTACCTGAGGCTGATAATGGTTTGTGATGCTCACTGTCTGCACCACAGGAACCCAGACCCACCTGAGGATCCCCCTCTTCCCCAGGTGGCAGGTGTGGGTATTTATCAGTGCTGCAGTTACGGGGTGATTTGGGAATGGCCCTGAGCAGTGGGTAGTTCCTGGGCAGGTCCCTGAGAGTGCTGTAGCTGCAGGGTGTAGATCCTGAGGCTTAGCATGGCTGGTGTGTTGGTGTCTGTAGGCTCCCCGAGAACCAGCAGCGTGTGGGAGGCTGTTTCATGAACCTGATGCCCCAGTTCCGCTCCCTGTACCTGACGTACTGTGCTAACCACCCTTCAGCAGTGAATGTCCTCACACAGCACAGGTGAGTGATGAAGAAGGAGATTCAGACTTCTTTAAAAAGTTAACTTTTATTATTAATACTTGGCCTGGTACGGCTGTTGACCTGTGTTTTGACAATAGGGCAAGGGTATTTCCTGCTGCTGGAGCTTTGGGTTTTTCCACTTGGCCTTTCAGCTTCAGCATGAAGACAGCTCACACTGCTCATGTTCAGAGCTGATCTCACAGGTCCTTTTTGCACATGCAGGACTCCCACCTTGGGTCAAACAGGCAGCCTCAGCTCTGGCAGTAGTATCATCTGTGATTGTTACTTGTTAAAGGACCCAGATGCTGTTTCAGACCCACTGGTCAAGTGCTCACACACTGACAAATGGGAGGGTGTTCCCCTGTGGCACCATGGTGGGGGGAGCACATCGTTGGTCATCCAGTCACCCAGTTGCCCAGTTTATTAATTGAGCTTCTATTCAACCAAATGATTGATTTACAGGGTCATTGGTAGATTGCATTAATAACATCTTTCTTCAACATGACCCATGTAAGCAGAAACTTGAATCTGTGTGATGTCCTGCTCAAAAGTGTGTCAGGATGTCACTGTGTCATCCCTAATGCAGGTTAGCTGTCCTCCCTGCAATGATGGGAAAGCCAGGACCACATCCATAGTATTTAAGTCTTCCCTTTCTGCAATGGGAACTCACAATGTATTTACTTACCTGCTGAAACCCAGCTTTTATTCAGTGTAACAACAAGCCTGGCTCCAGCAAATGACTCATTCATGTGATTCCTGAGTCTCACCTCTTTTCCTAAACCAACCAAAGAATCAGCTTTGTCAAATGTACTGACACACGGAAGCCACGTTCTCTGGAGCAACGTACATGCAATCACCTGCATCACAGCTTCCAGCAGGGTCCCAGTGCATTACTTCAGCCTCCTCCAGCACAGTACCAGCTTATGCAGGTGCTGCCCTCCTTGCCCTCTCCCCAGCCACCAGATACCTGGCCCTATGCCACTTTGCTGTGCTGAGGACCAGCTGCTGGCACCAGTGTGCCCCAGGGGCTGTGCATTCCAACCCCTGTGGCTACATAGCATCCTGTCCTTCTTTCCAGGGGAGAAGGGTCTTGCTTGGCTAGGAGCTCCCTGCCTGCTCCATGGAGTTGGTGGGGGGTGCTCAGAGAGGACTCTGTGCTGCCTTTAAAGAGGCCCAGCTCAGAGCAGAGCCCTGGCCATCAGGAGAGCATGGGAGGCAGCAAAACACAGCCCTCAGTTCTGAGAGCCCTCCTTGTTGTTTTTTCTCTTTTTATAGTGATGAGCTGGAGAAGTTCATGGAGAGCCAGGGTGCAGCCAGCCCAGGCATTCTTATCCTGACCACAAGCCTCAGCAAACCCTTCCTGAGGCTGGAAAAGTACGTGACACTGCTGCAGGAGCTGGAGCGGCACATGGAGGTAGGTGGGGTGTGGGGCTTCTGGGCAGTCTCTGCCCCTTGATGCTGCCAGAGCTGCTCCCTGAGCTTCAAGAGATACCTCTGCCTCTTGGTATTTGAACACCATGTGGCTAAAAGTACTCACATCTCCAAGGAGATGTCCCATGTGCCCCAGACATTATCCACCTTTCAGATTAAAAGTGAGAGCACAAGTAAAAGCACAGTCTAGGGTTGGGCTGCGGCTGCTGTTTATTTGCCCAGCTGAGAATAAATCTGTGTTTTTGTTATCATTTGATGAGATTCCTCACTCACTCCTGTGGCTTGCAGGCACATTCCCACCCCTTGCCCTAGGGTTGTACTTCTGGGTAGAGCAGAGCTGCACAGACAGACATGAATCTGGCAGCTAGCACAGACACAGGGGTGGAGAGTGAGCCCCTGGGAGCAGGGAGAGCAGCCATGGGCACAGAGACTTCTTTGGCAAGAAGCAGGTCTGCTTCAGGACATTTTTTGCCCCAGGGACTGTAGAGATCTCTGCTATTGGAGCTCTGCTGCTCACTGCTGATGCACTTCAGCTGCAGAAGGCAAAACTCAGGGGTGGTGCAAGGGGCTGAAGAAAACAGAAGTAACAGTCTGTTTCTAAGCAAGTTTACTTTTTCCCCTCATCCAGTTTTAACTCAGCACACTTTTCCATGACTACTATCAAGCCAAAGGATTACAACTTCTGTGCTTGAGCCAGGGATATGCCTGCATAGTAGAGGTCATGAGAGTCTGCAGGGTAGGCACACTCCAGACCTACCTGTACCCTCTCACCTGTCTGAGCTGAGCTGCAGGGGCTGAACTGAGCCTGTCTGCCGCCACATGCCCATGCAGGGATAAAGTGCTCTTTGCAGGATATATGCACTGTGCTCTTTGCCTGCTCTTTGCAGACAATTCAGCAGTAGATTTGGGGACACACACATCACCCATTCCTCTTAGTTTCTAAGCTGAGTGTGGGAGTTTTGTTGCATGAATCAGTAGGGCTGAGGTTTAAGCTGAAGCTGGTGATGCTGTGGGAAGAGGATGGCTGTGTGCAGTGTGGATGTACACCACAGCATTCCTTGCACTGCTGCAGAGCTGCTGAGGGGGCAGGTGTGCTCAGGGCAGCCACTCATCCTACATTCCAGATAAGCAATCCCAGGCTGTGGGGACAGCTCCATCACAACTTAGACACCTTATGATTTTTCTTGGCATGAGGACTTGGTGGTGAGGAGCAAGGCCCCAGACCCAGTGGAAAATTCAGGGAGAGTACTAGCATAGGGTTCAGAGATAAGGGTCACCATTCTGCTTTTACCTAGCTCAAGAGCTCTCTGCTCAGACATGCCCTCCCTTAAACCCAGAGGTGAAGCCCCCTTGATGCTCATTGATTTCCACCCTTGATATGGCAGTGGCTGGAATACCTGGCACATCAATGGAAGTTTCCTTCCTGATGGTGCACCCTGCACCACTGCCTGTTTTCATTGTTTTTTCTTTGCAAGTCAGATTTGTTCTAAGTCAAATCACACCTACTCTTGCTCTAGCCACTTCACACTTGTTAAATTGGTATCAGTGAATTGCATAGATGCTTTTACCCATGTTGAAGTAGATGGTGGGAAAGGTACCTGGGGGACTTTGGCCTCCTCCTGAAGCCCATGCTGCCTGTATCTGCAGCCCTGAGTGTCCTGGGACAGTGGTTGATGCTCAGGATGGGTTGTTGCTCAGGGTGGGTGCCACTGCTGCTGATAGCTGAGAAATTTTCTCTCCCTTCACTAGGAGGCGCATGCAGATCATGAAGATGTTTTGAAAGCTGTCACATCCTTCAAGTCCCTTGTGGTAGGTGGCAATTCTTAAAATAGAGCACTCCATTTCAGGTCTGCATTTCATGAAGAATGAGTCAAATATGACATTTGTATCCTCATTAGGAAAAAAACGGTCTTTTGAAATGGAAAAGATGGGTTACAAAGAAACTTAATTTCACATTTCAAGCCTAGAGCTGCTCCTCTGGCTGCAGCAAGTGCATGCTGGCTCTGTGGTCTCAGAGTAGAGATGGTGGATCTCCAAGTTTCTCCTCTATTACTGAAAGCTACGTGTGGGCTGTGGTAGCAGCAGGGTCCCTTTCATCTCCTGTTGTCTCCATTCCCTAACCATTTGCCACCTGAAACTAGACCACCCCTTTCTCATTGAGAGGGAGGTTAGCACAGCTGAGACTGACCTGAGTGCTGGTGCCAATGGGAAGTTCCCCTCTGAGCCCATGGAGTAACTCTTGGTTTTGCTGAATTTTGCTCCATGGGCATCAGGAGGCTTTGACCACATTCCAGTAATTTGTGGCTCCAGATGCCATGGCCATCGGTGGGGAACAGAGAGAAAGGATGAGTCAGAGATAAAAAACCTTTTTCTGTGAACTCTGTCACCTTCACACCTCAAAGTCCTGCCACACTGAGATGAAATAGAGGGGGGAAAGCCATCCGTGTGCACAATGGTTTTACCTGGAAAAGCTTTTTTCAGTTATTAAAAAAGCTCTAGTCTCTCTTGCTTTGTAGGCTCAGAGAACCTTTCACTATAACCACTCCAGATATGGTCTAGCTTCCTTCCTTTAGCACAACAGATGTCACATGTTTGTGACAGATGCAAGTATTTTGCAGTGCAGATAAAAGATAGGGAGGAGAAAGTTCATAGAAAACAGGAAAGGGCGATCATGTTACATTTACTAAGAAACTCAGCACCCTTTCCATTTATTCTGGAAGCTAACAGGGAAATAACTCATTTAAATTACAAGGTGTCATTAATCTTTAGGAAATCTCATAAGTGCTGGATGGTTTTACTTGAAATGTGTACTTGGCTGATGAGTAATTTTATGTCATTATGACACTGCTAATGAGGTTCAGTGTGGATTTGAGGTTAGACAGTCAGAGGTGCCCCTAGTGATGGGCATATTCCTGTTATAGGACCAGGAAGGCTCCCAAGCAAAGGCAGGAAGGGACCAAGGAGCCGCTGTGATTCACAGCGGTGCCTCTGCACAGACTGTGATTAACTCCTATGGATTATATGGATTATATTTGGATTTCTGTCCTGGGAACACTAGATTCGGACACTTGGGGAGCTGTCAAAACATACAACAGTTGCAGAACCAGAGTAAACATCCACATATTGTTTCAAATGTGTGTGGTTTCAAGCTAGACCCAATGCAGCCTCTCTCTTTGAAGAGCTGGGTAGTCAATGAATTGGAAAGGAGGAAAATGTTTGTCAGAAATAGGGGTTTGGAAAAAACCAAGCAATTGGTGAAAACAGCCCAGGTATGGCTTTACAGCAATTTTTCCTGTTGGCAGAGGGGTCAGTTAAAGTAAGTATTGCTTGGATTTGCAGGACTCTTTGTTCAGTCAGCATTGTCATGTCTTGCTGAGAGCTTATGAGAGACTGGTCACCCTCTGGAGCTTCCCCAGTCCCCAGCTGCCCAGCAGTGATGCATTCTTTTCAATTACAGCACTTTCAGAAGATTCTTTTTTGTGCTAATCTACAGCACCACCCAGTCCTGCTTTTGGGTTCCCAGATTTTGGTTAGAAAATGTCCACCCATCTGACTTGTGGGGGCTTTGCAGTGCTAGAAGTTTAACTCCACTGTTTGGACAAAATGGGCAAAATCTCTCTGAGCAGTAACAAAATTAAAGACATTTAACTGTGCAGCTGGCTTGGTTTGGAAATTGTGTCCCTGAACTCTCAGAGGTACGGCTGGTTTGGAAAAAAAGTTTGCTCAGTGCAGTTTGCACTTTCCTTGACATTTGAATGTAATCATTATTTCATAAATCACTAGAATGTGGTTTTTTAACAGACTTTATATAATGGAGCCAAAGCAGGCTTTCCTGATCCCTGACATGACCATCCTTGAGCCCACAGGGCTGTGTGAGTGTTGCTGGTGAAACTGGGATGGTTTGGGTTGGCTCCTGCCCTTCACCTCACAAAGCTCTGCTGTGATTCCCAGTCGCAGTGCCAGGAGCTGAGGAAGAGGAAACAACTCGAGCTGCAAATCCTTTCTGAATCCATCCAGCGCTGGGAAGGAGAGGACATAAAAATGATGGGAAACATCATCTACATGTCCCAGGTTATGGTGCAGTCTGGAGGAAATGAAGTGAGTGTGGTGTTTCTTCTGTGGGCTAAAGACTTTGTGTCTGAATACCTACTTGCTCCTGGGGTAAATGATGCGAGGCAGCAGCTCCTCTCCTTCCAGACCACAAACTGATGATAAATAATGCTGATAAATAATTTTACCTTGGGAAGAGCTGTGCACCTCTTTGGAGTGTGTCAGGCACCCCACAGGCTTAGCTTCAGGCCTTTGGTGACACACTTTTCAAGAAAAGAAATACCTCAGTGTCATATAGCACATTAATTTCCCTCTTTCTCCCCTGTGACTTACACTGTGAAATGAGAGTGACTAGAAAATATCCTGTATGCAGCACAGGGGCTGCTCTGATGCCCTACCTCAGAGCTTAAAAGTTAAAGCTTGTGCTTTAACTGCAGCGATTCTTGTCCTAGTGGTCCTCATGCATTGCACCAGTGCCTGACACAGACCTTCCCCAGCAGTGCTAAAGCCATGTGTGCTGCGTGCTCAGTGTAGGAACCTGTTAGCACTGAATTGCTTGTTGCAATTTTTCCCTGGCAAGGGAGGACCTGTAAAACAAACCCATGCAGCATGTAGTCCCAAAAGTCTTTCTTGTTTGGAATGTGGGATGCTGGGGGACATAAGGCCTTCTGAGGCACTCTGCAATGATTGGAATAGGATTAGCAGGATGCAGAGAAAAATCTATGCAAGGAAAACTGGTACATAAATGAGATACTATAAGGAAGAAAAAAAGCCAGAATAGCTGGTTTGGGGGTGATCTCACAGGCTGTGATTCCAGTTGCTACAGGTTCAGTTTGCTGGAGGCAGCTGTTTGTGATGCATTGCAGACTGCACTAACCTAAATGCTTATCCCCCCCAGGAGAAAGAGGAGCGGTATTTCTTGCTGTTTTCCAATGTTTTGTTGATGCTGTCTGCAAGCCCACGGATGAGTGGGTTCATCTACCAGGTAGGCATGCTTAGTTTGAAATTGCAGGGTGTTTGTTGTAGAAAAGCAAATAAGATAGTTCTTATCAAATTCAAGTCCTCTGCATCCTTCCAACTCTCTGTTGTGATGCTAACACCCCAGGCTGGGAACCAGGGCTTGGCTTTACCATGTGCAAGGATAGTCAATGCCTTTGTCCTGATAATTGGTTAAGCAGCATTTGGTAAGTGAATGCCGTGAAACTAAAAAAAAAGGGAAAACCTCAAAACCTGTTGTTTTACCTGCTCTTCTTGAGAGTAAAGTGTGTGTGTAAGGTGTCCTGACCCAGCTGTAGGGTTTTGACTAGCCAGCTGGGTTTCAGTTTTGTGTCATCTCTGGAAAATTCTTATAAAGCCCACTACAAAGAGCATGAAAGTTCCACACCATAAGGTATTAAGTATAACTCTGTATTTCTTGTGTTCTACCATTTTCCATAACATCCAATGGCTGTTGAGACCTTGGCTTTTCTCCAGCTGTGTGAAACTATCAACACTGCCAGGAAAAGGATGCTCTTATTTTGATGTGTCATTTGTCATAGCAAGGGAGATGAAAAATATTTGGGAAATATTTGGCTGGGTTTTCTGGCTTGACCCATCGGTGGGAGTAATATGAGCAGGCGGTTCAGTATGCAAATTAGAGGGATGGGGAAGGCTTTCAGAAAAAGCCAGGGGAAATTGATCCTTCTGATTTGACTGTAAAAAAGGTTTGCACTGAATGAAGGAAAAGGGCAGCAGATGATTCGGGATGACTCAGTTGTCATGGGAGCCTCATCTCCGGCATTTGACCTAGTTGTGTAGGGAAATCTAGATCCATACCTTAAAGGAGACTTTTTATGTAGTCTGAATCCTTCACAAATTAATTTTAAATGGCAATTTCCAAAGAGAAAGGAATCAGCAGAAACAAGCAGAACAACACCTGCAGACATTGACTGCTCTTCAACTCTCCCAGGGAAAGCTGCCTTTGACGGGAATGACACTGACAAAGCTGGAAGATGCTGAAGGGAATGAGCACATGTTTGAAATCACAGGTCAGTGAGGCCCTCTGCCTGGGGCAGTCCTCCCAGTGCAAACAACAGTTGCCACTGGAAGTACTGGTCCTCCTTCCCCTAATCCCCCACCATGATCTTCCTCCTGCTCTTTTACCATGTGTTGTCTGAGTTTCTGAGCACCTCTGTCCTGCTTGAGGCAATCTCCACCGAGTGCCATGGAGCTCTGCCTCTGGCTGCCTTTGGAGACCATAGTGTTTTGTATGAGACAAATCTCTCACCCCAGTAGCACTGCTCTGCACTGGTGTGCCTTGTCTGCATCCAGCAGCCATCCCTTATAGTTCTGAGTACCTCATTTATTGACAGATGAACAGTTTTGGTCATCAGGGAGCTTCCATCCCATCTTCTCTTTCAATTTATCTCATTACTTTTAGGTATACGCAGTCATTTCATGCTCAGTGCCTGGGCTGCAGTGCAGCTATTTGTGCTGGTGGTATTTGGTGTCGGGATCCTGTTGATCATAGAAATGTTGTGTTTAATGACCTTCAACATTAAATAATCCTCATACATTCATCTCACCAGCTCCCTTAGCATTTCTTGTAGCTCCCACCCTGTCAGTGGTTGCCTGGAGCAGGATGGGCAGTCATCATCGTTGTACATGAGATGCTTAGGGACTAAGTTTAGTGGTGCACCTTGCACTGATAGGTTAATGATGATCTTAGATGTCTTTTCCAACCTTAATGATTCCATGCATCTGTTTCTATCTTTGCTCTGGCCTTTTTGGAGCCACTGTGCAAACTGAGGAGCCATTTCCTGCTGTGCTGAGCTGATCTCACCCTGTGTTTCCTCCTGAGTCTCTACCACTTGCTAAAGACAATTATTTAACCCTCTGCCACAGGGAACATGATGGAGCGGATCACTGTGTCCTGCAGCACCAGCCAGGATTTGCACGAATGGCTTGACCACTTGCAAAGGCTGACCAAAGGGACGTACAGTACTGTCTCCAAAACGCAGTCCTGGAGCCCTCATTCAGTAAGTGTCACCTCCTGGCCTGTGCTGCCTGCTGTTGGAGTCTGAAACACAGACTGTGTGCACTTGTTTCTGATGCTTAGCTCTGAGATCCAGAAAAACACTTTATTTCATATAACATTAAATTTATGAGCATGTTTTCATGGTGATACATGAGAATAACTGTTAAAGTTAGAAAAGCCACAAAGCCATTTTGTACCATCAGAAGGAAATGTGCTAGATTGCAGTGAATTGAACTCGTGCAGAAAGTCTGGAGAGACCTACCAAGTTTTGTGACAACATTTTAATAAACACAAGAGACAAGATCCTAATGGGCTTTGGAGTTTTTATCCTGATCCAGAGGACTGAGATAAGTGGGACTCGCCATGAGGGAATATCCCCAAGGAGCTCAGCTCAGAGAAGCTGAGAAATCCAGGAGTGAAAAAAAGTGCAGAAGAAGCACAGCAGCAGAATCAATTAAAAAAAAAAAAAAAAAAAAAAAAGTAAATGGAAAAAAAAAGAAATTAAAAAGAATTAAAAAAAGTTACACCTGGGTTCTTCACTGCTGCCTGAGCTCTCTGTTTCAGCAGCACCCTGACGCTAATGTAACAAGGCAGCTGTAAGACACATCCTGCAGTTTGCTTTGTAACCATGTTGTACTTGTATCATTTTACATGTATCCTGCCCTATTTTTGTTGTGACTTAAGATGTCTCAGTATCTCAACGCTTGTCCATCCCCCTCCACTTCTCTGCCTTGTTTTGTGGTTAACAGTCTTGGTTTGCTTCTTATCTGTTTTTTCAGACATTTAGTTCAGCTGGGCAGATCCGTGGGCCTCTGGAACCCCCCAAAATCCTCAAGCCCTGGAGCTTGAGCTGCCTCCGTCCTGCTCCTCCGCTCAGGCCATCAGCAGCACTGAGTTACAAAGAGGTAATAATCCCACCTGCCTGTCCAGGACCCTGATTTCACACAATCCCTGGACCTTGTTTCCAGGTTTTGTATCCTACAGCAGGGGTACAGAAATGTAGGTTCTTGGGGATGTTGAGAGAAATGACTCTGCCAGTTTGGCCTCTGCCACGGATGTCGCTGTGCTGGGCTTCGTGCTACACGGATTCATGAGTTTGCAGGCTGGATATTTGCTGTTGGCTGCCATAGCCAGCATCCTCAGCTGCTGGATGTCACCAGTCCCACATGTGGGTGTCCCATTGAGCCTTGTCTTTTGTCAATGCCTTGGTGGAGCTGCCTCCTTTCCTCCTTCCTGCCTTGGTCTGAACTTGAACAGGGGCCTGCGCCCTGCTGGAATGTGCTCCAGCTGTAGCAGTAGCTCAGTGATACAGGATTGAGAAGCAATTGAGAAGCAAGCAAGATTGAGAAGATTGAGAAGCATCACAAGGAAAAGGCAAAATGTCTGCTCGTGTTGCTTGTGTCTTCCACCCCATTTTGGTGTCTGAAACAGGATGTGGGGCTTGAGCCTCCTTTGCCACCCACCTGAGTGTTACACAGCAAGGTCCTGCTGGGAGGCAGCAGCCAAAGGATGGCTTCACCTGCAGAAATCACAGCCTGGGAGCTGGGAGGTGGTGTGGGAAAACCCAAAATACAGCCTAGCTCTGTTGTCACCCTGCACCACAACCGTAGTGCTCTTCTTCCCTACCTCATGTTAAAATTTTGGAGTTACTCACCAGTACCTCAGGTAACGTTCCCCTTACTGAGTGAGCAATTCTGGGTCTGAGTCAGCTGCCTTTCTTGGTGCAGCAGCCCTGGGAGTGTTTCTGCCCCAGTGGGGACGGGGGGACAGGGATGGGATTTGGACCCCCTCAGCCCTCCCAGCACTTAGGGATGGAGAGTCTGGCAGCTGGCAGGACTGTGCGTCTGCTGCTTCAGGTAGAGATTTGAAGTAGCCTCATTGCATCTTGTTGCATCTATTTCTTAGAATTTGTAAAGTAACACATTTCAGTTTGGGAATTAAATTGTTTAAATACCAAGTGAGCAGACTGAAAATGATCCATAATCTTTGCATGTTCCAATTTCCTATTGGAGGCTAAACCATTTCTTGCTTGCATGGTGAATTAAAAATACAGGTAGAGGCTTGAGGTAGAAGAGAAATTTTTCTGTGGGGGAAAACCATAGATTGAGTGATATCTTAAAAACCATGGTCCTTTGCAGTTTCTTGTCCCCTGCCACTCATAGCAGGAATTAAACTCTGTGTGTCAAAATCAGGAGAGAGATTTTTGCCACAGAGGCCTAGCCCAGAGCGAGTCCCAAGGGATAGGATGCTGGATGATACCCTGCAAGGTGTCATAGGACCAAAAATGTGGCTTCCATGGGAACAAGCTGTGATGACCATGTTGATAGAAACTCAAAGGCTAACATGTCCAGCAGAGCTGGGCAGGCACAGCCTGGTAGTCAATCCAGCCTGAGCTTGGGGAGAGATTCATGGATACAAGCCTGTGATGACAAATGGGAAATAAGTTTGGTTGTTGGTCCAAGCAGATCTGCATCTATCTCATCTCTCCCTCTGGGATGCCTAATCACTAAACAGAATCCCTATTTCACTGTATTTTAGGGTTTTTTAGTTTTAAGTAGATCACAAAATAAACAATGCTGACAGCTTCATGCAAGCACTTTTCTATAATGAAGATATAATGAAGGAATACAAATTTCAAAGGTTACTTGCAGGGAAATGAATGTGACAGTTTGATTAGAAGAGTAGAGATTTTTAGACATCCAGTGTTACTTTACTTGTCTTTTCCTAGTGTAGGATGGGATGGCACAATCTTGTACACTTTCTTGTACCCAGCTGTGCTCAGGAAACTTTAGACCCTGCTTGTGTACAGCACCTCACTCTTGTTATTTCCATTGAAGTTGGGTCATTTTTCCTGTTCTGTTTCCAGTTAATCATTTGAAATGACAGAACAGGTAAGTTCTGTGGGTAAAGTGCTATGTCTGGATTCAGTTTAGCAAAGGGAAAAAGATTTACAGATTGTTCCTTTTACTACCTTTTTTTTTTTTAAACTGTCTGCTTTGCATTAGGTGAAGGTTTTGTAACATCAGTGTTCAGGATTTTGCTGGACAGACCTGCAGGAGAGCCTAGTGGCTCCCTGGATGAAGCATCCCAGGGCTGCAATCCTCCAAAAGATGTGCAAGGAGCTCCCCTGCCAGTGGAACAGAGTGGCATTGCAGTACTGATGCCTGACATGGTCAGGTCTTCAGTGAGGATGGAAGGTCCCCTTTGAAAAGATGGAGTCCTACCAGATTGTCACCAGGGTGGGCAGAGCATCCTGGCATCCTGACTGGGCTGGGTTGAGGCCCTTATGGCTGGTGTTGAGTGCAGACCCCGAGTGCTTCCTGGAGCTTGGATGGAGCCAGGCTCATGAGGCTCCTGCAGTTGTAAGCACCACTTTAGGCAAACAACATCCACAGACACCCACTGCTAACCAAGGAGGCATGTTCTCTGTGTGTCTAGAGTGCATTTATGCCCACTCACCCTGCATCTCACATGTAAATCTTCAGTTTTGCATGACAAGGTGCTCCTTTGCATGTTGATAGTGCTTTAAAACCAGTACAAGGGGTGTGCTACATTAATTGCAGGACTAACATTGAAACGTGGTTTAGAATTGTGGATTTAATAGACTTGATGATAAAAATCACGAGTCTCTCACACTCATCTTCTCTTTCTTTGCATATTCATTGTAGAGGATGTCTTATATCTTAAAGGTAAGGGTAGATACCTCTCTTTGGCTTGTTGTGGCACAGAATGCTTGTTCCTGTTAATGCTTCTTATGCTTGCATGACCCTAATTTCGCCTTGTTGTATCAGTAAGTTATTATCAGAGTCAGTAGCAACTGGCAAATATATTTTGAGATAACTCTCAGAAGGGATTTAGTGTTATGGTACTTAACCCTCCTGGCATCCTTTAAATCCTTATTGCATGTGACCTACTAATACACTAATTCTCTCCAAATCAGCAAGACTTTCAACTGAGTGAAGGAGATAAAAGTTTGTGATTCTTACTCATGGAGTTATAGCAAACACTAACTTTGTGTGTATTTTTTCTGTTCTCTGTATATATGTGTGTGTGGGATTTACACTCTCAAGTTGTGGGCATTTAGAAGCAGAGCTATTTGCCAACTCTTCTATATTAGAAATCAAGTCAGTGGAATAAACCACATTTTAGGGTTTTCTAGCACAGACCACAGAGTTGGTAAGCAGACTAAAAGTGCTATGAATGTATTTGAAGTTTTCGGCTAAAGGACTTTTGAGAAGAGTTGAGTTTACTAGAGGATCCTGTCCTGGCCCAAGCCTGAAGGTGCAATTCCCACTGCTATTCCAGGGAGCAGTGGGTCACAACTGGTACTTGTGAAGGGCAAAACCTATAATTTTCCCCAACCTTGTCATTGTCTGCTTTGTAGCTCTCTAACATGTTATGCGTAGCATGGGTAGCTGCACCCAGCTGTGCTGCTTCACTGTCCCAGCTGCCTTTGGTTCTGGTTAAATACAAGAGTCTATTTCTCTATAGGATTCCAGCAAAAGTCCAAAAACAATGAAGAAGTTTCTTCCAAAAAGGAAAACTGAGAGAAAACCATCCGATGAAGAGTTTGTTATTCGGAAAAGTAAGTGTTGCCCAGAGGTGCTTTGGCTGCTCCATCCCTGGAAGTGTTCATGGCCAGATTGGATGGGGCTTGGAGCAACCTGGTCTAGTGGAAGGTGTCCCTGCCCATGGCAAGGACTGGGACTAGATGATCTTTAACCCCAACCATTCTGTGATTCTATTTTTCTTTCATTTCCGGAGATTTCTGTGTTCACAGTGATCTCCACAAGACTTTGAAAACAACCTTTCTTGCAGTGCAGCATGTGACAGGATGCTCTCACTGTGAGCCTCCATGCTCCTGAGCACAGGAGACTTCTGGAAGTGCACTGGTCCTCAGCCTCTAACAGATCCCTCCTCCCCTCCCAGTTATGGCTGCCAGACATGCCACCACCCTACTCATGATTGCTAGCACAAGGTCATGGGTTGTGGCTAGTCTTATTCTGGGTATGAAGCTGAGGAACTACTTCCAAGTAGTTAAAAACTGCATTAACCTGCACAACAAGAGTCACAGAAATATGTCTGACAGCTGGGACAAACCCTTACCTGGCCATGCCAGCAGGTCCTAGAACAGTGTCCATGGGGAATTAGGAAACAAAAAGGTCCCCATCCCAACAGGTATGTTCACTGGCAAAGAGAGGTGTCCTGAGGGCTCTCTGAAGTCCACTTGGAGCACACCTTGGGGGCTTTACACAAAAGGCCATGGTCACCCAGGCATTGTCAAGCTGCCTTGCACAGCTCTACGATGAGCTGTCTCCCTTGAGAAGATGACAGTGAACAGAGGCTGGTAATTAACACTTCGTGTTTCCAAGTCCTGCTCTGGTGCTGCTGTACCAGACTTCCCACACTAGGGCTGCTTTGCCTGCCCATCTCCGGGTGCTGTCTGCACCCAAAGTAGGGCATCACCCCCTGAGTTTTACCAAGATGAGCAACTACAGATGAGTTTTCACACCATTTGGTCATGGTGCTTGATGCCACAAAGGCTAGAAAATGTAAAGGACCTCAAAACAGATTGGCCAAAGTCCCAGAGACAGTCAGCCAAAGAAATGGCATGACTCTCTCAAGGGGCTTGGGAGCAAAGACTGGGAGAGACAAGGCCAGAGTACTTTGCTTTTTGTGCCTGCTGTTGTTTGCAATGTTTTACAGGTACTGCTGCGCTGGAGGAGGATGCTCAGATCCTGAAGGTGATTGAGGCATACTGTACTGGGGCAGGCTTCCAGCAAGCTCTCAGTTCAGGTGGGCACACAGCCACATTATTTAGCTCCTACTCTGCCCACAGCACTGATGATCCCTTTGGGAAAAAACACATGTTGCATCATACAGCAATGAGACTCATGCTAGGAAACTGTAGTGTTCAATCTTTGAGATAAGAAAGCTTTATCTGCCTAGTGGTTTAGTTGCCATTGTTTTTTTTTCTAAACACAGAGAATGAAGCAGGTAGGAGAGCAAATGAGACACTGCTATTTCACCAGTGATTACCTGATGATAATCTCAAGTTGCTTATAGCTTTAGAAAGGAAGCATGAATATTATCTCTTAATCAGCTGTGTGTTTAAGAACAACCTGCTTCATAAGAACCTATCTTAGCATCTTCAGCTCTGGAAATATAGCTATTTATCATTGCTGGTGAGGTGTCAGCCAATTAAATCACTGAACTGTCAAATAATGGTACATAGAAAAAAGGGAGTCCATGGTTCTTTGGGGAGCTTTTGACCCTAGTTGAATTGTTTCATTTATAAGTCATGATGTAACTTTAGATGAATGAGTACTCTTGAAAATTTTCCACTTGCTGCTGTAGCACTGGGTTAGTGGGATGTAGCTCACATCTCCAGCCTGCCCCAGGCTGATGGTGGAACAGGAAGAATGAGAGCTACTCTCTGATGTAGCATGGGCACCAGGGAAGATTACCCCTTTTTCTCCCTCATGAATAATTCTTGTATACAGGCTCCCGTAAAGATTCCATCCCCCAAGTCCTGCTTCCTGAGGAAGAGAAAATCATCATAGAGGAAACACGAAGCAATGGCCAGATGGTCATGGAGGAAAAGTAAGTGTGGCTGCTCTTCACTTGCAGATAGATCCCTGTGTCACTTTTTGGAAGAGCATTAAAAGCCAATGCCCTCTCCTTCTGTGTCTCCACAGAGGAGCAGGCTTGGTGTCATTGGCTGCTGCCTTAGTCTTGGCAAAGAACCACCAGACAATTTCAACTGCCATTTTGTCCCTTTTAAGGACAGAGCTGCCTTCCCAGCTGCCCTGATGTGCCTGTATTCCTCTGGGAGTCTGGATCCCAAGTTTATGGCTTATCCAGATGTAGGATAGTGGGGTCAGCAAGGACAGAATCAAGCAAGTGGCTCTTAGTTTTTTTAACTACTGATGTATTGCACTGTTGCTGCCTCTCAGGAGCCTGGCTAGCACCTGCCTGTGAGTGCTCCCAGCCTGTTCTGTAACTTCTGCATCTGTGTGACTGTGTTGTACCTCTTCCTTTCCAACCCAGTCAGTGTGTTCCTTTCATGTTTGATTTTTGCAGCACAACCTCAAGGAATCAAGTCTGCAGTACAAAAGATGCTCAGACTTTTCCACCTTTAAAGTCATTGTTATTTATTGCCATAGCATAAACAAGGAAGCCAAAGCCACAGACCTTTGCTGATAATTCAAAGCAGAACAAGGTATTGAAGTTTGAGAAAAGAGCCCTGAGTTTTGGACCAGTGGTCTATAAATGCTCCTAGGCTGTGTTTCCAGAGTTCCCTCACAGCCAGCAGCCTGATGCTCGGGAAGCAGAATCTGGATGCAACTTTCCTGTCAGCACCTCCCATGCTGTCACTGTTTTCTTGCACACCAACTCTAATTTACTTTTTCTTTAATTTCATTTTTCAGAAGCCTTGTTGACACAGTTTATGCACTGAAAGATGAAGTGAAAGAGCTGAAGCAGGTAATTTGGGTAGGATTGTTTGTGCTGGGAGTTGCATAAAAGCAAACCAGTCTGTGCTGGGTCATCTTCAGCTGGTCTGTGCCGGAAAAAGTCTTGCTGATCCTAGTCCAATCCTGCAAATTCCTGAATGAGCATTAGTTTTCTTCTGGTTTACCTCCCTGAATCATAGAACCTCTAAGGCTGGAAAAGACCTCTGAGACCATGAAGTCCAACCATCAACCCATCACCACCACTATGTTCACCACTAAAGCATGTCCTGAAGTGCCATACTCACACATTCTGTGAACACTCCCAGGAATGGTGACTCCACCACTTCCCTGGGCAGACTATTCCAGTGCTTGACAACCCTTTCCATGAAGAAACTTTTCCTGATATTCAACATAAACCTTCCCTGGCTCAGCTGGAGACTCGAGCATCCTCCATGCTTGAGTGCCAGAGACAGCAAGAGGGGAGGAGTAGTTGGTCTTTGTGGTAACATGAAACATCCCCCCCTTATTCCAAAAGCTCTTTCTGCTTGACCATTCATTTTATAGGGGTCAGGTAGACACCTATTCTTGCAGACACAGAAGAAATATGTTCTCTTTCCTCTAGTCCCAAGTCTGGAGGTGGGAGAAACAATCGGAGGAGAAAAGGGTTCTTCAAGCTAAAATTCAGTTTCCAGGAGGATGTTTCTGCCTGCCCAAAGTCAGGGAATTTCTGTGCAGGTCTGTGAGGTAGCAGGGGTCTGTTTGGGCTACTTGTGGTCTGATCCACTTACATTCTTCATCCTCATGAACTTCTATCAAATGTCTCTGTTACTTCGTCACCTCTGAGGCATCAGGCAGCAGATGCATGGAAGTACCCCGCAGCATGAAGTGCATGGGCATTAACTGCATCTTTATTCCTTTGTTTTTCACCTTGCAGGAAAACAAAAGGATGAAACAGTGTTTGGAGGAAGAGCTTAAGTCCAGGAAGGATTTGGAGAAGCTGGTGAGAAGGCTGCTGAAGCAGACGGATGAGTGTGGCAGGGAGGACACAGGGCGCAAGTCATCCCTGATCGCCTGAATTCATGGAGAAGCTGCTGGCAGTGTGACCTCAGATGTATTTTTGGAAAGTGGAACTGGATCCTTTGCCTCTTCTTGCTCCTTATTTTGTTGATTTGGGGTATTTTGTTACCAAAACCAAAAAAACAACAACAAAAAAACAAACAAAAAACAATCATAGAGAAAAAAATAATTTTCCTTCCATTCAGTAAGGAAATAAAGCAGAAACAATCAATCACAACTGAACCAGTAAGCAAGTGGTCCATGATTCACAATTCATCTGCAGCAACTAATACCTCATTGTACCTGCTACTGGGAGCAAATACAAACTCTGCTAGCGATTGTTGCTCACAAAGGCTTGGGCAGCAGTTTCCTTAGAATAAGCTTAAGCACTTTTTAATGCTTTCATTCTTTCCAAAAGCACCAACCAGTACCTATTTATTGAATGAAAACATTACTGAGGTGGCATTGAGCAGAAACCAAAAAAGCACCATGCTCCTCTTTTCAGATAATCACAACTGGGGGAGTTTTCCCATCCATCTTCTTTTTTCCCATTAGTTGACTGTAGCGAACTAGAGCCCAGCAATACTGTGGTTCCTGTGTGGCCTTGATACTGATTAAAATGTGCAATTATGAAGATATTTGAATTCCTTGGGGAAGCCAGATCTGGAGCACCTGTCAGAGCGCATAGGAAGGTATTTTGCACAGTGCTGCCTCCTTACAGCTCGTGATTAGCACAACAGGTAATTGCTCTTCTGCCCCCCATCCCTTTTCTTCTGCATGATGTAGAATTCCTACCTACTGCTTTGTTTTCACATTGTGTGTCCAGGTATCCTAGGAGATTATAATTTTGCTGTGCTTCCTCTTGCAGGACATGCTTTTCTCTGTATGAAATGTAAACACTGTTTGACAACAAAAAAACAACCCCAAATGTGCTGGTCCCCTGCTCCCTTCTGCCCACTTTATGCTCTCCATCACTCCTTCTCAAGGGTTGGGAATGTAGCCAGTGGCCACTTCTCCCCACACTGCTTCACAGGGGCTTTCTGCTAGGGAAAAGGAACTTTTCTCTTGGGATAGGGAAGGTATTTATACTTTGACAAGAGCTGGAGCACTCCCGGGGCAAGGATGTGCAACACCTGCACAGATCCATGCACAGTTCCTCAAACACAGCACACAGGCAACATGCATATGTATCAGCTTTCCTTATCTTATTTGGTGTTATACCCTAGTTTAGAACTCATATTCCCTTCCCGCACCTTCCCGCACCTTCCCTTCCCGCACCTTCCCTTCCTTCTGTTAAAGTTAATGATGTCTTATTTATCTCAAAGGGCAGCATGGTCGCAGGGTGTGAGAGGCACCACAGCTCATAAAAATCACACCATTATGTTGGTTGTGAAGGACATAACACAGGCAATAATTACAACTCCCTCCTTGCCATTAAAATTTAGCTAGTACATTGCAAATGGTGTTTTGGGAGATGTAGACCCCAAAACATCTCAAGGAGTGTAATAAGAAACTCTTTAAGCTATTTCTAGGGCAAAACAGAGGTCTGCCTACATTTGCCATCCCCAGAGCATCCCAGTCGGATGGCAGCTCCCCACATCCCTCCCTGGGCACACAGTTGGGTGGTTTGGTCAGCAGCCCAGCCTTGCTGTGCTCGTGAATAGTTTTCCAGGAGCAGGACCTTTGCTGCACTTTCTGCTGCTCAGGGAGGCCATGCGCAGACCCCTCGGTACTGCCTGGCCCTGCTGCCTGCCCTAAGCTGGGCTGATGACATACAGAACGAACCAAGGGCCACTGACACTCCAGGGAGAGGGTGGAAATGTGTCCTCGCTGCCTCCAGGCTCAGTTGAAACCCATGCTATGTACATACGCATGTTTGTGAGATGTAATGTGATGGAGGGCACACTGGGACTTTTTAGATCAAGTATTCGTCAAGAGCTAGAAGCCAAAAAAAGACAAGAAAATAAAATAAAAAGGAAAAGAAGCCATGCCAGATGGACAGCAATGTTTCCATATTTACTTTGTTTACAGTGCTTTGTAAATAGGTTCCAGTGAGTCTGTCTTTAGATGGATGTTGTGTCAGCTACGTTCTAGTGTATCTTTATCATGTAAGTTTATTTACTGTAAACTACTTATGCAAGTTCAACTTTTCTAACATGTTTTTATTTTGAACACTTTTTTTAATTGACATTTTCAACAAATAAAGAAGGATAAAAATTGCTTCTTAGCCCTTGGAGCTGCTTCTTGTGTTTCAACCATGAAAGCAAAGCCAGTGCTTGCTCTGGGCGTCACTGATTTCCTCAAAATGCCATGGTAGCATCATCCCTCTGTGACTTACTGGCAGGAATAGTGGTGTGAAAAGTGATGCTGACACTTGGACTGTTGCTCCCACCATCACCCAGACCTGCAGCAGGCCAAGGGCACTTGATGCCAGGGCAGGAGATGCATTTCCACGTGCACTTGGTTCACAAGAATGCTTTATGGAGAACAGACTGCTCTGCTGCACCAGGCGGTTGCTGTAGATAAGTGACTTCCTGCCTGTTTAAGATTTTTTTTTTTTTTAGTTAGTGTGTGTTTTTTTTCTGGCAATTAGGTGTGGTAACAGGATTTCCTTTGGTCTACCACCATTGGACAAGACGTCTCCTGCAGGCTTGGGTTTTTTTAACTCTTTGGTAGAGATGTACCACGGTCTGCGGTCTCAGCCCACAGCAGAAGGATCGAGGGCAGAAGGGCTGGACCCTGCTGTCATCCCCCAAACACAGCACTCAGAGTAAGAAAAAAAACAAGGGAAAAAAAAGCACTAGCCTTGGCTGCATCATGGAAAAACACTGAAGTCTGAAACTGCCAGAGGGAACTGTTAGATGGGATATTAGAAAGAAGTTCTTCCCCGTAAAGGTGGTGAGGCCCTGGCACAGGTTGCCCAGAGAAGCTGTGACTCCCCTATCCCTGGAAGGGATCAGTGTGTATTGAACCATGAAAAACACCCCTCCCAGCAGATGACCATGCCGCTGCTTGCTCCTGCCACTGCTCATCCATCACCCCCTGTACCAGTCCTGCTGATGTGTCCTGCAAATTCATCACAATTTCAACCCCTTCTTAACTCCAAAAGAACAAAAATCAGTTTGGAAACAGTAAAATTTACTGCCTGAGGACTGGCATAGTGGTGTCATTTCAAGGGAAAAATCAGTGTATTGACGACCTTTAAATTTTCCATGCGGAGTGGAAATGGTGCCAGCTATGGCAACAGGCAGGGATGGGGGAGAAGGACACAGCTGGATGGCAGCAGTTGCATCTTGTCCCCTCCCACACACTACCTCACATCTGAATCCCACAGGCTATTTTTGGCAAGTCAAGAAACAGAGGCAAGAAACAAAAGCCCTGAGAAAGGCAAAAGTGTGGCAGGGGCTGGGGTTGGTCAGGCAGCCCACAGGCAGGGGGGGTGACAGTTGGCATCTGCTGCCCTTGCTGCAGAATTTATGGACTGTTTTTCTTTTCACCTCTCTAATTGTTTTCCTCAGCCACATGAAATGCAGCTCTTGGATTCCTGCTCAGTGATTTGGACTGGGGATCACAGCCCAGCCCAAGGTCTCTGGCAGGTGCTCCTGACCACTGAGGCTGGGAGCTTCAGGAGGCTTCCAAGTGTGCACTGATCACAATTTCTCCTTGCCTGTGACGAGCAAGTTTTCCACTCCTGGAGGTTTTTGGCCACACACTCAATCCTCACAGTTCTCTCCTCCCCATCCACTTGCCCCAAGCTTCTCCCCTGTCTCAGGCCATGCCAGTTTGCACCATCTTTTTTTCTTCTGTAGCTTCCACCCACACTCCCACCATGACTGAGCATCTCCACCTCCCCTGTGGAGGTTTGTGGTTCTTCAGGCAGCCCAGCACTGCCTTCATGAGTCCAGCCCACAGGGCTGGCTGCATTTCAGCAGAGGCAGGGATGTGGTCACAACACCATCACAGGGTGCCATGGGAGGCAGCAGCTGCCCAGCTCCACATGCAGCATGTGCAGCATCCACCCCTCTGCTCCAAAGCAGAGACATCCCTGCAGGCTTAGGACAGGCAGGAATCATCCTCTTTCAGTCAGGTGTCCTAAATCCTGTTAAAACTAGTCCACACCCCTCTGTTTCATAGCTGTGCTGGGGGCTTCAGCCTCGGTGGCTCACTGGCCTCTCGAGGCAGGAGCTCTCTGCTTCTTTCTCCTGTCAAAATGTCCCCTAGTGCTGCCTGGCCCTGGCACCACAACATGCCCTAAGAAGCATGGTGGAATGGAGGTGGAGGAGGCTTCTGGGACTGGTTGTCCCCAGTGTGACCTCCAATGTCACCCCACTGCCCTCTTGGTCCCCAGACCCCAAGCAGGACCCTGTGAAATCTCAGCCTGGGGCTGGGAAGTGTGAGTGGTGTTCAAAACATACAGAGCCACCTATGTCTTAATTCATAAATTGTATTAATTTTGGAATGATTAATGGAAGAAATCCCACACTGTGGAAGGGGGAACCATAAACATGGAATTATGCCACAAAACGCAGCTACAGCTGTGCACAGTCCTCTGGCACTCAGTCTCTCTGGTCACAAACATAAGATGGGTTTAATCAAACAAACAGTCTTTATACACAATGTCAGATAAGACTGGTCAATGCCCTAAGAAAGTTGGGCAGTTTTGGAGAATAGCCGAAAAATACTTATCAAATTATAGTGAAACCAGACCATCCCTGAGTTCTATTGACTTTGGAGGAGGCTGTGCAGGGCACCCAGATCTGCAGTGAGCTCTGCAAAGAATGCACCTTCTGTTCCACCAGTGGGTGGCATTTGGGCACCATGTTAGGACTAGAGCTGCAGCCTCCAGCACAACAAAGCCTAAAGACTGCCCAAATCTGGAAGCTCTCCCATTTGCAAATATGTTGGCATCCAGGATTATTTCCAAACTTTGATCCTGTAAGTGTGACCTGTATAACCAAAAACTACAGTCATCACATGTCATCTTTAAATGTTTTTTTTTAAAATGTTGCATCAACATTCTTGTGCCCTGATCACCTTCCCTGCAGACCAAGCTGGACAATAGGGCTGGGAAGACCCTAGTGTGCAGTGTCACCCAGGTATCCCCTGCTCAAGAGGGGTCCTGCCCATCTGTACAGTCCTACTCTCCTGGAGCTCCAGAAAAAGTGCCACTGTGGACATGTCCTCACTGGACAACCAAAAGACGCTCTGCACATATGCCTTGGAGGGAAGAAGCAGGTGGGCTTGCCACTCTCATGCTTTCCTGGTCCTCCTCCCTAGGTAGGAGGCGTCTCAGGAGAAGGTGTAGTTCCAGTTTTGATGGTGGTGCCCAGTGATTCTTCCACAGGGGAGTTCAACTGTCCACAGTCAAAGGTTCCTCTGCCTGCAGAGGTGGGAGGACAGTCTGGTGAACAGATTCAGATCACCAAGAGCAGACCACCACCAGTGCCCTACCTTCTCTCTGCCTCGAAAGCTGCAGTCCTCTCTCAGGCACCAATCACCCCTGGTGTGGAGCAATTGTCACCAAGCATGAACCCAGCCAAGGCAGTGCCACCCTGAGGAAGCTGGATGAGTTTCACAGACAGGCATGGATGGAAAAAAGGGGGTTCTCCACATACAGGAAACAGTTGGGGTGGCAACACTACCTCACCAGCAGCTACCATGTAAAAACAGTGCTGGGCTTAAGGATTCCTTTAGAGGAGATGTTCCTAAGCCTTTTTATGTTTTTCCATTGATGTTTGTAAGCAGATTGGTAGTGGAGATATGTATGAATGCAGCTTGGCTGAAGTGCCCTGAGCCATCCCATGTTTCAAGGAAAGAAATGATGGTAGAGTTTGGCAAACGAAACTCTTGTGACATTACAGGGACATTGACCCTTTGAGGAAAGTGGTGTGTGGTGGACCCAGGCACTCAAGACCAGCATGTACCAAATCACTAGCTGCAAAAGAAAAAAATCTGAGAGAAAAAAATTACAGCTTCAAACTTTGTTCCATTCATGTTCTCAGGGCCCCCTGGCCCTCATTAATAAATAAAAAAAAAAATATACAAATTAAGAAACAAGAAAAACAGAGAGGCAGAGGAACATAAATAAGGGAAAAAGGGAAAGGCACTTTGCTCAAGAAAGTTGGGCTGGATTCCCATCTCAGGACAGCCCTTTCCTCACTACACTTTGAAGATTCCTAAGTAGGTGTTGCCATGCCTGTACTTCACTTTCGTGGAGTCTGTCACATTGACAAAGACCATGTCACCTTCTCGAAGGTTGAAGACACCTCCCACACGGATTGACTGGAGTTCACATTGGGACTTCAAGGTGCTCTGTGTCTTTTGTCCTTTCACCAAGAGCCGGTCCTCTTCCTTGGGGATATGCAAATAAATATAGAGGGTGAAGGGTGCCAAAGATGCTTCCCTGGTGCAGAAGCTGACTTGGGAGTAGATGTAGTAGAGCCCTGCTTCCTCCACCTTCAATTTTCCCTCCTTGTTGGATATCAAGCTGTTTGTGGGGCCATACATGGTCTCCTTCCACTCCAGCACTGTAGGGAGAGAGCATGGCAGGTGAGCTCAGAGAAAGAGACTTCCAGTTTGGCAGGCTGATTTGGGAGGACACCCACAGACATCTGGCCTCCAAGTCTCTGTCTGTCTGCAGGGTGCAGTCAGTGGGGTACTCAGCTCAGGACACCATCCCCAGCCCAGAGGAGCAGGGACCCTTCCTCTAGGCCAGAGCAGGTTCAACCCATGTTGCTGATCACTGGCTTTGTCAGCCTTGACTCAATATGTGAATAGAGGAACATTTAGCTTCCATCATCCAGGCAAGTATAAATGCTTAGGGAGGAGGACTGCCTGTGTTTACCCCAACAGACCAAACACTGTGTCACTTCCATTTGCTGCCTTCATGGACTTCAGTGTGACACCCTCCAAGCCCTCAGAGCACTACCAAAATATGCTGCAACTCTGCTCTTCTTCTTCCCATTCCAGTTTTTCCCAGCTGGGGGCTGCCTTTCCTCCAGAGTCCTTCCTCCTCTTGGCCTCTGGGCATGGTGAGACTTTACCAAGGAAGTACAAAAATGAACATTGTACAGTTGCTATCCCTGCCTGGTGCAGAGCTGCAAGGGCTTAGCACAGTGAGTGCTGCTTCCCATTGCCAGGACCATGGCCCACACAGATCTGCCATGGATTTTGGGACGCTTTTGTTGTCATCAGAGTAACTCATGTAGTTGGTACAGATAAGCCTAT